TATGTGTTGGTAGTGTTTGTCTGGATCTTGAGACAGAAATGCTTTTGCATGATCGATATGGCGTCGGTTTCGGCAGCACTGTTGAGGCACGAACGGCTTCGTTTCTCCGAGAAAAGTCGTTCTGGATTTCAGTGGGTACTAGGCTGCTTTCTGGCGACGTGATTTGTCGTCTCCAATTATCCAGAGAGAGAGAGAGAGAGAGAGAGAGAAAGCAAGTAGAGGTCATGTTTGCTCTTCCGAATTGTTCTTGTTGCTGTTCCGCGGCTGCACGAGAGCTTGACGCCTCAACGACCACCTTGTTCTCATGATCCTCCCATTCATCTTTGATTTTAAAATTTTAAGGAGTGACTACACTACATATGCAGGTGGTTGGTAGTCAGTTTTTAAAATTTTGAAAAAGTTAAAAAAAATCCAAAGCTCTTGACTTCTAGTTTTCTGAATTGCTTGAGAAAGCTAGATATTTTGAAAAAAAAATTTGCAGGTGCGAGAAGTTAGTTTAGTGGTTGTGACCTAAGTAGTACCTCAAGATACTGAGTTCAAATCTTTATATAAAAGAATTTTAGATTAGGTTGTTTGAGGGACAAAATTCCCAATTTAAAAAGACCGCATACATCTGTTTTGATGCAAAAGTTGGGTAAAAAAATACCATTCTCTAAAAAGAGAAGTTAAAACCAAAGCTTTCATATCCAAATTCTGCAAATCAAGTTCAAATAGGGTTCAAAGTTGCGAAAGGACCTGTAACCTAGTGGTTACAAGAGTCTCAGTAGCATCTGAGGTCCTAGGTTCGACTCCCCGTGAAAGCGGATTTTTCAAGATTTAACGACGTTGTGCTTTAATAAAAAAAATAGGGTTCAAAGTTAAATCCACTAACACTTCGGGATTTGACTGAACAGATGGACCGCCGGCCAAACGAACAAACCCACCACTCCCACTGTCCCACGCAACGAACTGAAGCTCATGCGATCAAAAATTCAAGGAATAAGTCCACATAGACTCCCTTAAAAGTGACCCAAATCTAATATGTAACCCTCAACCGCAAAACCGGATAGGATAGGATGACTCCCGAACTACTGAAATCAGTGCAATTTGACTCCCTCAGTGGTTTTGCTGATGTGGTGCTGACGTGGAAATATTGACCTAGTTTTCGTCACACGTGGCGCTTACGTGGCATTACAATTAAAAAAATATATGTGGGACCCATCTGTGATTCACACAAAAATATATTGTGGTCCCCACTGACATGTGAGGCCCACATGTCATCCTCTCTCTCTCTTTCTTCCTCCTCCCTCTCTCCCCCTTTTCTCTCCACCTTCTCTCTCGTGGAGCAATAGACGGGCAGGGGTAGCGACAGCGGGCGGGAGCTGGAGCGGCGGCGGCCGGCAATGACCGGAGCGGCAGCGGCGGCAGGCGGGCTCGACGAAGCGGGACTTGAGCTTGGTGAGCGACGACCGGCGGTGGAGTAGCGCGGCAACGACAGCGGACGCAATCCCGTCGCGCCGCGGCCGCCCATGCGACAAGAGGAACGCCGTGCCGGGGGAGAAAGGGGAGGGAGGAGAAAGAGATGCGGATGCAGGGGAGTGGGTGGGTCTTCCTCGCCGGCCGACCGGTCAAGGGCGTCGAGGGCTCCGCCTTCGTCCATGGCGCTTGGATTAGGGCGCGGCGGACTCCCTCAAATATAGGTCAAGCTGCAGTTTCACTAATTCACAACTTCCACCGCCTCTACCTCGCCACGAGCACGAGCCACCACCACCCCTCGCCGACATCGCTTCGTCCTCGTCACAGGAGCCGTTGGCTTCGTCGGCTGCCACGCAACTGCCGCCCTGCAAATCACAACACTACTAAAATCTGAACTCTGAATTCCTGAATGCCCAGTTGTTTGGTCTTCACAAATGCTCCTATATATACAAGACAATTACTACCGCAAGAACACAGAATTAGATCGGTTTTGCAGTAGCACACACAATGATCCAAGGAAAATGGATTAACATCAATGGCAGTCGTTTTCAGCACGCGGAACTCAGGAGGCAGATCGGCAAGGCGATCGTCGTCGTGAGTAGTCTGAAGCTCTGAAACGAACTAATCGACGAGCGGCACATACAGGAGAAGATAATCGGTGGAGAGAGATCTCATGAGCTGTTGCTATCGCATTCAAGCGCCATGACCAGTACGCCGTTGCTATCGGTTTTGGGGAGGCTTTGCAACCTCCGGCAACGGCGTCGTCGGCGTCAACAGCGGTGGCGGCGCAGTCGGAAATCCTCCTCGGGGTGGCGCTCCCGGACGACATCGCCTTCCTGGCTGGAGGTGGAGCACGGCGATGGGATCGGGGCGGCCACCGCTTCAGCTCCCGCCGGCTGCCACCACTCCGGCCCCCGCCCGCCGCCGCTCCAGCCTGTGCTCCCCGCAGCCGGCCGAGAGAAAGGAAGAGGGGAGGAAGAAGAAAGAGAGAGAGGATGACATGTGGGGCCCACTGACATGTGGGCCCCACAATTTTTATGTGTGAATGATAAACGGGTCCCACGTATACGTTTTTAATTCAAATGCCACCAAAGCGCCACATCAACCCCACAGATTAGGTCAACAATGTCACGTCAGCGAAACCACCCTCCAAAACCACCAAGGGAGTCAAATTGTACCGGTTTCAATAGTTCGAGGGTCAGGATATCCGGTTTTGCAGTTTAGGATCATGGATTAGATTCGGGTCATTTTTAAGGGAGTAAAAGTGGACTTGTTCCAAAATTCAAAATGGACAGTTTTTTTTAGGAATAAGTTCACTTGGTGACCCTCAAAAGTGATTGAAATTTAATCCGTAACCCTAAACCATAAAACCGGATATCTTAACCCCCAAACTATGGAAATCGGTGCAATTTGACTCCCTCAGCGGTTTTGGAGGTCGGTTTCGCTGACGTGGCGGTATTGACCGGGTCTTCTTTACACGTGGTGTTGACGTGGCATTTAGCTGGCATTTAGAATTAAAAAATATGTGTGGGACCCATTTGTCAATGACACAGAAAATAGATTGTGGGACCCACATGTCCCTTCTCTCTCCCCTCCCTCAGTTCCCTCTCTCTCCTCGTCGTTCCCTCTCTCTCTCCCGCAGCAGGCGGAGACGGAGGTGCGGCGACCTGCGAGCGGCGGCGGCACCCGGGCTGAGCTCCACCACGGCGAAGACGGAGGAGACCACAGCGGCAGCGGCGGGAGGCACACGCGGCGGGGTACAGCGAGCTCGGCCCAGCAGTGGGAGGACGAGGGGAGCCGGCGGCGGTGTGAGCGGCGGCTGAGGGATGGGGGCCGGCGGGCGGGAGCTGGCGGCGGCGGGAGAGCGGGTGGGCGAGGGCGGCGGTGGCTCGTGGCAGAGGGAGGATGAGGGGAAGCGGCGGCCGAGGTATCCGAGTTCCTCTTCGACCGCTTCGCCGCCGACCACGCCGCCATCACCATCGCCATTTCAGCAGTCAAAGTCGAAGTCGCCGCCGTGGCCTGCTTCTCCCGCCTGCCGCCGTTCCCCTCGTCCTCCCACTGCTTCTGCCGCCCGCCGCCGTTCCCCTTGTCCTCCCACTGCTTCTCCCGCCCGCCGCCGCCCACCGCCGCTGCCCGTGGGCTGTTGCCGCCGCCGCTCGGCCGCCGACGACGTCTCGATGCCGGCCGCCGAGTGGTGCGGGTGGTGGTGGTGCGAGAGGAACGGCGAGCGGCCGCCGCTTCAGCTCCAGCCCACGGCCGCCGCCGCCGCTCGCTCCCCACGGACGGCCGTAGAGGAGAGGGAGAAAGAAAGAGAGAAGGGAGGGGAGGAAGAAGAAAGGGAGAAGATGCGTGTGGGGCCCACATGTTAGTGGGCCCCACAATTGTGTATGTGAATGACAAATGGGTCCCACGTATAACTTTTTAATTGAAATGCCACCTAAGCGCCACGTCAACGCCACGTGTAAAAAAGACCCGGTCAATACCGCCACGTCAGCGCCACATCAGCGAAACCGCCCTCTAAAACCGCCGAGGGAGTCAAATTGTACCGATTTCCATAGTTTGGGGGTCAAGATATCCGGTTCTGTGGTTTAGGGTCACGGATTAGATTACAATCACTTTTGAGAGTCACCAAGTGAACTTATTCCTTTTTTTTAAGGGTGAATAACTAACATGGTCACTGAAGTTTCGCTTTGGGCTCAGTTTAGTTCTTGAGGTTTCAAATCGTCCAAACAAGTCCTCCAAATTAATCATTTGGGTTAATATAGTCCTTTGACCAAAAAAAAAAAGCCATGTGAGCATGCTAAGTCATCCTCGCATGCAGCGGTATGAACAAAATGACCATTCTACCCTTATATACCATATAAAAAAGAAAGAAGATAAAAGAAGATAAATGTTTCACACGTATATGATCGTTTTATAATTATCACTTACGATTGCTGCAGCGATCATGTAAATTAACAATGTTGGGACTGGGCTGGCCTGTTATTTTTTCTGTTTGTCTTTTTTTTTCTATATGGTATATAAGGGTAGAATAGTCATTTTATTCATACCGCTACATACAAGGATGACTTGATATGCTTTCGTGGCTTTTTTTTTCTAAGGACTATATTAACCCAAATAATAAATTTGGAGGACTTTTTTTGGACGGTTTGAAACATCAACAACTAAATTGAGCTCGAAGCGAAACTTCATAGGCTATTCACCTTTTTTTTTATTGGAAAATGGAGTCGTACAACGTATACTGGTAAAAAAAAAGTCCAAGTATATTTGGTCCCGTCAGAGCCCCATCAATCGAAATTGTTCCCAAAATAAAACAAGATCAGCCCAACCTGGTCTATCCGCTCAAGATACTGAGCAGATTCAATGAGATGCCAAGTTGGAAGGGCAGGTCAATCTAGAAATACAGATGTGGACATACTGCGTAGTTACTGATGATACCATGTTGGTGCTTAGTATGTGGTATATCATGTCAGCGCCAGGATCTCGAAAGGATTATGACAGTTTTGGACCGGAATGACACACTTTGTCAAATTATGAGACCTGAATAGCACAAGTTTAGAGACCGGCCGTGCACTTTACTCTATAATTCAAGGAACAAGCCATACATAACAAAAAAAAGTGGGTTCAAAAAGTTAAAACAAAATGATATATATCTCATCACCAAACCAATCTTTTGAACCATATGGTGGAAGTTACGACTAGAATTCCATCGATGCTATAGAACAATCATGACGATAGTATGATTCATATCTGGACTAACCATAGGCTTCAGGGCATCTAAACGAATTTCAATATTGTCTCCTAGGTGGTTTCGATTCTGCTACTGTAACTCGGATCTGTCTGCCATCCATGTCCTGCACAACAAAGAAAATAGGCTTGTTTTAGCACACACTAAAAGAACAATGATGCTGAAAGACATATGAGAATAAGAAACCAGCCAGACTTAGTGAAAACTCACAGCGCCATCAAGATTTGAAACTGCATTCTCAACCTCTTCAGCGGAACCATACGTGACAAAACCAAATCCCCTTGACCTGCCACTCTCCCTGTCATAGATGACCTTGGCTTCCAAGACCTCCCCTTCCCCACTGAATAGGTTTGCGAGAGCTGCATTGTCAACACCCCAAGAAAGGTTACCTACATAGACCCTGTTGGCCTCACCCCTGGGTGCTCTCTGCGATGATTGCTCCCTTGGTGGTGGTGGCCCTGAGTTAACCCTCAAAGATCTCCCATCAAGTATCTGTTTTAAGAAATGAAATCAGCAAATTAGTTAAGCACAATTCAATGATGTTGTATAGGATATAACACAACATATGTCCAGCAACATGCCAGAAAAGAGTAAATTAAAGTTTGTTTTCTAGTCATGAATAAGCTAAAAGCAAACAAGGATTAAAACAAGCAAGCAGGTTCATATCGAGCAACCTCAGCTACAGTTATCTTGAAAGAATGCAAGCCACAGCATGCAAACCAAAGAGATGAAATAGGAGCGCACTTTATGCAATATATTTTTAGCCAGCCCATATACCAACATGGAGCAAAAATAATGACTTAGAAGTATGGAAGCATATACTCACATAGCCATTGAATTGCTCGACAGCTGCCTCAACTTCTTCAACACTAGACATTGTCACAAACCCAAACCCACGACTCCTTCCAGTCAGCTTATCATAGATGACCTGCAACAATGCAGTTTAGCATGATACAATATAGGAAAAATCAACCAAAGCCGAGTACTACTCTTAAAATTGAGCAATTAACCAGAAAAATGCAATCCTAAATCTTTCGCCAGTCACAGAATTAATAGCATGAGCGCCAGCACACCAAATTTAACAACCTTAAATAATGGCAACCTTATCGCATCCTTAATCATCTCCAAATACAACCTCACAATGAGCACCCGAAATAAGTTTTTTTTTCTTAAAAGAACGAGAATATGCCCACACTACCATATGCAACCCAATTGTATCGCGGTTTAAGCTAAATTAACAACAGAATGAATTTGTCGTGAACTGTAATATGAAGCAACTAGACACAATCATTCATCACCACTTCACCAGCGACCAGCGGTCCATTTCTGGTTTCACAAAGACAGGGACACACCAGCGAGCGACTCGACGAAGGTGGTGTGATAGGAGTACTTAGTAAGGCGAGACGAATGGGGTGGTGACCTCGACCATCTCGACGGAGCCGGCCTGCTCGAAGAGGCCGGCGAGCTGGGCGCTGTCGACGCTGAAGGGCAGGTTGCCGACGAAGACCCTCAGGTCGTCGGAGAACTCCTCGCCCCCGGAGCCCTCCTCCTCCTCCTCCTCGTCCTCCTCCGTCTCGACCTCCTCCGACACGGCCACGGCCACCGGCACGAAGGGGCTGGTCCTCCTCCGCGGCCATCCCGCGACGGCGAGGGCGGGGAGCAGCGGCTTGGAGAGGAAGGAGAGGGAGGATGAGGCGGGGTTGGAGGAGGTGGAGGGGAGGGGGAGGAGGTGCGGGGAGAGGGCGGTGGAGAAGAGCGTGGCCGCCATGGGTGAGGAGGAAAGGGGATGGGATCGATAGGGTTTTGGGGATAAGGCGGAGTGAGGAGAGGAGAGAGCACAAACTGGGAAAGAGGCAACAGTAGAGGAGAGGAGACGGGTTTTATATTGTTTGTTTATACTTGTAGCTAATTTGCCCGTGCATGACCACCAAATCTTAAAGGATAATTTTGGCATTCATTTCAAAGCCTTAAGAATCTACAATTCCGGCTGTCTTTTGCCATCAATTTTTAGATGCTTACTAAATTAGCCAGACCAAGAAACACAAAGCTTATGTTGTTTCAGGATGAAACACCAACACCACCAACAGCGTGAAAGCCTACACGCTAGTAAGAGTGGTGGTGACGGAAGATTCACTGGCATCACCACTGCCCACATTTAATGTAGTATAGATATTGGCTTCGTTTTTTTGACATGGATGAGCAAAAAATACTATCTCTGTTTTTTTCGTTGGTTAACTACCGTCAAACATTTGGGGAATAAGATAGTATTTTTAATAGCAGGTATATATCTTCTACTTAATTTTACTATTGCTTCCATCACAAGGTAATTTTATTTTTCACACATTCCGCATATACCGATACAAATATAAATTTGTATGGGCCTAGGAATCAGTAGGTAGTAGCTTTGTATGTGTGTGTGTGTATATATATATATATATATATATATATATATATATATATATATATATATATATATATATATATATATATATGTGGCAACATATCCTATGCACACAGGCCCTCACGTGTACACACGTGCACACCAACTAAAAAATGTCACCAAAAAATCTAGAAAAAATCATACACATACTTTCAATTGTATTACACCTAGGGTTAAAATCTTAAAGTAAAATTCATTATATTTTAGCCGTAACAAAAAAAAACAAAAAATCTGACAGTTTTAAGGTTGCAATTTTGTCAGAATTTTATCTTTTTTGTTATTCTCTATGTAGAATGAATTTGAAGATGCGACTTTGCACGTAGATGTAATACTATTGAAAGTACATGTATGAATTTTCCTAGAATTTTTTGTGATAATTTTTAGTTGGTGTTATAAAATCCATTCCAATCGAATATTGAGTAATCAAATCCTTCAAATCATAGTTTTTGAAATCTTTTTAAAAGCGGATTAATCGGACGAGGATAAAGAGAGAGTCCCATTCTACATGTCAATACTGACAACAATGAAATTTCTGGTAAAAGGAAAATCCGTCGACTTTCTAAGTCAGGGTTCAAGTCCCTCTATCCCCAAACCCTCTTTTATTCCCTAACTCTAGTATTTATATATGCCAATGTGTGAATGCAAAAGGTGAAGGTAAGGCCCACAAGAGAAAAGAAGACCTCTCCATACCCCCACACTGTTTATTGTACAAATAATATAGTTAATTTGCTTATTACTGATAGTAGTTACACTTTAACAAACCCTAATATATTTGTCCCTCACTTTTATAAACTCTAAAACTGGGACATGCAAGATGATGAAAGGTGGACTATAAATAAGTTACCATCCCTCCCCGATGGGTTGACTCCTCCAGCCAAACAATCCCCTAGCATCTGTCTAGATTCGTAGTACTAGGATACGTCACATCCCTCTAAAATCCCTTACATTAGGACATCCACAATGTGGGAGAAAAGCAGGTAATAGGCATTGAATGCTTCCTTCCAACCTGGTTATATACACTGTGATGTGAAAGTTGGTATTAGCTGTTACCCAATCATCACGTTGCTACCGGCAACAAACAAATAAAAAATGAATTGTAGTTCAGTCACAAGCTAACAAATGTACCTTTTGTGCATGGAGCCACCTTGTTTTCTCCATCATAGGCTTATATATATTGGGGTACAGATCCCCTAGAGTTGAGTACAACTCCACCGGGTGAATTTTATCAAATCCATGGCATCTATTGCTTCCTATGGCTGAGATGAAGCCATCTATTGCTTCCTATGGTTTGAATGGGAATTACTTTATTTTTTTATTATGTTAGTAATGGTTAAGTTTCTGCCTACCAAATTAACAAAGTATACATGTTCTCTTCTTTCCCAAACACAAGAAGCTACATTCATGTAAAAAAAAAAGTGTTAACCGCATAGTACATGCAAACACACATAAACCATATACATGCAAAACTAGAGGCACGTGCTCAGTACGGTGTTTACACCATGGATTAATCAAAGAATTTCTGGGTTATGCAAGTAAAATTAGCTTGTATATTCTCAAATTGTCTAAATATATTGTAGACGGTGATTTGTTATTGTTACAAGATTAGGATAAATTCTTTTTTTTTCAAAAGAGACTAGTGGGAAGTGGGAACTAATGGCTTCATCCCAACCGTCGATAAAAAAGAGACCGTAGAGATTCTATCAAATCCACCGATGGAGTTGGAGTGACTCCAGGGGATCCAGACCCATTGCACATGCCCTTATACAATAGAGGGATCATGTTCGTAGTAATGTACATATCATATCTTACTATAAAGTTATCTCCCACTAACTCGTTAAGCTTAACATGCAAAGATGCCACATCATATCATCCACTAACAAGATGTCACATTATCATCCACTAATCCACTAATTAACAAGATGCCACATCATCATCCACTAACAATCATCACATTTAAACATCATGCAAACATGTTATATCTTTATAGTTTTTATAATTTAAGAGCTTTTCAAATACAAACATGTTAAATTATCATCCAATATAATTCACATAATGTTTCAATGTATATCTTTATTATGTTTTATGATATCCTATATACTTATATAGTTTATCCTCACTTAGTTGGTGCTTAAATGATTAATCTATGGTCCAAATTATCTTTCTCATTTTTTCCTCTAATTAAGTCATATCACATCAATTATTTTCCGCCTTTAGATAATTAATCTACGGTCCAAACTATCTCCCTACTTTTCTTCTTCCATAAAGTCATACCACCTTACTTTTTACGTTTGAATCACCATTCTACATACTATTTAAATTTAAATTATCATAAACCACATTATTTTACTTAATCTGATATTATCTAGCTATCTTACACGTTATTTTTTTTATTGTTATCATACTAAATTTCCGTAGCAATTCACGGGGTTTCGCTAGGTATAATATATGGCAGCTGCCGATGAATCTATTTTCCCCACCGAAATATGCACAGCGCGCACAGCGAGAGAAAAAAGTGGCAAAATGGAGATGGAACATGGAAGGGAAAAAAAGTGGCAAAAAAAAGTGGCCCATGCAGGTCTCGAACCTGCGACCTTCGCGTTATTAGCACGACGCTCTAACCAGCTGAGCTAATAGGCCTTGCTGTGCATTTGAACTTTATCCTACTAATATTGGTAGTTCCCTTTATTCATTTAAATACAATTGCCACAACACTACATTTGTCTAGGAAAATCACAACAGCACCGGTCTATGAAAATCACGTACTACAAAGTGCTCAGTAGTCCATCACCAACAACAGTGGACATCAATCAGTACATAAGAATGATCGGCTAATTCGACCAAACTGTTCAAATACAATGTTGAGAGAATTGCTTTTACATGCATAAACAAATTTGGCCAAAAAAAAGAAATATACTGAAAGCAGCACAATACTGTTTGCCATGTTACCGCCTACATCGAAAATGTATCATAGTCTACAGCAATACACTAACAAATGCCCTGCATGGCATGGCACCAACGTTCTGCAACTCCAGCAGTGGTTCCATATAGCAGTGGACAAGTCTGCAGTAGCAGCACACGGCGTATGCTCCTGCACCTCCATGAGAAGGGTAAAGAAGAGGAAAAGACTCCAAAACACAAAGGAAACTCTTAACTCGATAAAATCTCAACCCAGTTATTAACTTTGAGAGGTTCTCTGAAACTTACCCACACTCAGATTGAGCATCAGAGCACACGTGCACATCAAGTCAAGATCCCATGTATAGCATGGCTTGCACAATTGCATGTTAGGGCTTTTATGATCTATAAATCAGCAAAAGCGAAAACTTCCAGCTAACTGTAAATCGCCATAGTAGTCATATAGCTTACCAGACAGGTTGATACTAGAAGACCATGCTGAGATTGGTTTATAGGTAAACTTAAGTTTTATGTTAGCCTATTTTGAGCTCACTGAGGAGGTACAATTTTCTCTGGGGAACTATGTGCAGATAGGAACGAATGTGAAGGATGACACGATCCACATCCTTAAAGCAAGGGCAAGTAACTTCTAGGCTTTTGGTTGGCAAACAGGGAACCAAGTTCTTCCACACGAACTACTAAGATGAAGCAGGTTGCACGAGAACACATACAGGAAGTCTCAACTGTGAACTTTCAATACATAGGTTTAGAACATGTAAGACGGGGAATCAACATAGTCCCAGAGGAAAATATAAGTAAATGCTGTATACTAGGGAAATAAGATGGTCTATGGCATCCAGGCAGGTCCCTCTTAGGCAAAGCTTCCAGGTTGGGGCCATACTCTTGGTCATCTGGTTTGGGAAGGGGCTCCAATAAGCAGGCTCCATACTTCATTGGTCTTGGCATTCTTTTGTCTTGGCTGTTTTTAGTAAGGGAGGTGGGCATGGGGCAAAGGTGAAAAGAACAGGTCCATCAGAAGATAGCTGAGCTGGGTTAAATGTGTTTAAAAGGCAGAAATGCAATAAGGAGCAAGTCTTGATCGCATGATCATTCTGTTCATTTCAAGACAAGGTGGATGAACCATACCTGTTGCATTTGTCAATCTAAGTCCTAATAACCATGTCGCTTTCCATAGGAAAATGAACTAGGGCCAGATAACCTGATGAAAAATGAAATGTGCTAAGTGAGCAAAACATATGATATAAAGATTAATGAAATATTAAGTAGACTAGGCCTAAAAAAAATTAGTGCACACTTAAGAGTGAATTTCCATACATAGAGAAACATAAATATTTGGTATTATGACAGGTACTGTCTATACTGCTGACTCATAAAGTACAGGTATGCTTACCCACTGCTGCCAGAACGACCACTATATCCACCATAAGCCCCATAACCTCCTCCAGAGACCTGGAGAAATTCCAGTCGAAGTTTTGATAAGAGTCTGTTAGCATGAAGAGGAAAGGAAGGGAAGTGAAAGGGAAGCTATACCTGGGAGCTGCCATAACTTGCATAGCTGTCAATAGGGCCAATATCATCTGAGCCACGATATCCACTTGAATATGGATAATCATGCCCAAGAGGCTTAGTATCTCTGCCTAGATACTTTGGCCCTTCAGAAACACCAACTGGAAGAGGATGGTAAGGGATTACAGGTGGGAAACCTGATAAAGCACCTTCTCTTTCAAAGAAATTGGCTTTCAGCCTAGTAGTTATTTGCAGAAGAGCATGTCTTACAACATCAAGGTCTCCACTGATCTGTTGTGCAAGCAAATTACATTGGTGAACTCATCGCAGTACAAAAGACCAGTAAAAAAAAATTAAAACATAAGTTTAAATTGTACCTGAACCATCTCTTCGTCTTCTGCTGCTACTTTTGGTACATTCTCCTTAGAAAGGATACGTATGTTTGCTCTTGATGTTCTCCTTATCTCAGTAATGATTGAACCACCTTTTCCAATCAAGCACCCAATACGTGATGTCGACACCAACAAGCGTGTTGTGTAAGACGGGATCGCTGATTCCGGATCAGTTTTCTCACTGCATCTTGGTTGTAAATGAACTGCAGCATTTATTGTTGGGGAGACAGGATCTTCAAAGAACTGCATGAGAAAGAGAAAGCGGAATTGATCAGGACTAGAATTAAATATCCGCATGGATGCTAAATCAGCAGAGGACCGTAGGAGAAAAGCACCTCCTTTGCAGAAACAGTAATTATGCAGTCATCTTCAGTATTTGAACTATCAACTTTGATAAAGGCTCCAGACTCCTGCCTAATCTGTTTGATAATTCCACCACCCTTTCCAATTACACCTCCCACATTTGATGCAGCACAAAGAAGGCGCAAGCTAAATTCCTTTGCAGAGCTCTCCTCCCTCCGTGGTTGATATATAGAAGGCCAATCTCCAGCCACATCACCTTTGTATCCTCCATAAGAACTAATTAAAGGCGTAATCCCCACAACTGGTGCAGTTGAGGAACTACCAAGGTGGGAGCCCACTGGATAAGGCTGTGTCATGCTGGATGCAAGAAGATGCTGTGACCTAGATGGGTTGTCATGGAGACGAGATGACACTTGAAGAAGAGCTTTTCTGACAACTGTTGAGTCCCCAGATATCTAGTGCCAAAAGAATAAAGGGTTCATTAGCATTATTGACTATTCCACAGATGGCATAGCAAAAAAAATCAAGTACTGTAAATGATAAATTAAACTAGTAAAAGTTATTTTGCTGGTTGACTGGAAAGTGAAAACAGCTACTATTAAATCTAAGTCACTGCACCTTAAAAAGGGTACTCCGTAAAAGAGAATGTTGCGGACGTGTCACAAATAACCCATGTTACCAAACAGAGCCATAAATGCCTATAGTAGTAACGCATGTACGACATGTGTAACGCGGGAAAAAGATGGAAACAGAGATCCTCCACAAACCTGAAGAAGTTCATCACCACTGATGGCACACGCAGGGAGATTTTCATTGCTAAGAACACGTATATGAGCACCAGTGTCACTGCGGATTCCCTGTATAATATGCCCACCTTTTCCAATAATGCATCCAATCTGGTCTGATGGCACAAGCAACCGAACGGTAACTTGAGCTAAACCTTCATCACTTTCTTCATTCCCAATATCATCATCTATGGATAGCTTTTCATGAACTCTAAAGAGAGCGTCTTGGGCAGGGCAAACCTTATCTTCAGCATCTACTAGGGTATTAGTTTCCCTGCTTGAGCTAAATATTGTGATAACTCTCTCATCACAACCAGATACACTCTCACCAATCCTTATCTTAGCTTGAGTGTCGGCCCTCATCTGCTTAGCAATTTCTCCACCCCTCCCAATGATGCTCCCTATTTTTCTAGAAGGGCAAAGATAGCGGTAGACAGTATCATCTGGACCAGGAGCATATGTATCATCACCAGGATTCCTTCTCTTGCCACCTCCATTTTCAGCATAATCAGAGTGACGCTTCCCGTGACTGTTCCTATGCCCAGGTCCAACCATTGTCTACAATCGGAGAAAGAACGGTCAACACAGTAGAGAATATTGGGTCAAATAAATGGAAACTAAAATAACGCGCAAGAAGGAAGCTATTCTAAGATTATTCACATCAAACCCTCCTGAAATTCTCATTTACCAAATAAAATCAACTATAATCACACGAATCACCCTGTCAAATTCGTAATGACAGCACATATTAATAATCCTTACACTTGTATGGCTGCATGATGGCATGTTTATCATGGCCAAGCGTTAAACGAATCCACATGAACAAATCAATCCCATACCACAATGAACAAAAGTCATCTTTCGATCCTACCAACTAGATTACTATAAAAGATCTAACGAGAAAAAATAAAAATTGTTTGGTCTATTCATGATAACCTCTCCGACTCTTTTTTTACAGTTCAATTATTATTAAGTTGAAGAACTAACAAAGATATCCCGACAAAAAAAAAATTCTAACCAAAACACTCCAACCACGCGAATCAGGGGCGGATCCAACTTGGGACGTGGGGGTTCAGTTGAACCCCCAAACTATTGGGGGGAACAAACAAACTGTTACTTGTATTAAGGTTAAGGCTCTGAAATCAAATAGAAGAACCTCTTCCAGATCTATAAGAGAAGCTAGGGTTAACGCAAGCAAATTCCACGGAGGTGCAATCCCGGTGGAAGAGAGAGATAGATGAATCAGAAAGAGAATGCAGATGGATGCTCACCAAGATCCCCTCCCCTCCCCTGCTCCGCTCGCCGGATGGAGATCGCCGCCCCTCCCCTGTTCAGCCGCGAGATGGCGCAAGGAGCGGAGGAGACGACGAGACGGGGAGATTTTCTTTTACGCCAAGCCTAGGGAAGCGGCCAAGGGGGAGACACCCGTGTACACCGCCTTTTATCTCAAGCTTTTCACTAAAGCCCGAAAATTTGACAAATTAACCCTTTCAGAAAACTTATCTAAAAAATAAATCGTGCTAAAAACTAATCATGCGCTTAGAGCCATCGAGGTTAACAATGACGCCGTTGATTTTTTTTTTAACATGTTTGACCGTTTGTCTTGTTTAAAACTTTTGTGAAATATGTAAAACTATATGTATACATAAAAATATATTTAACAATAAATCAAATGATATGAAAAGAATTAATAATTACTTGTTTTTTTAATAAGACGAACGGTAAAACATGTTTTAAAAAGTCAGCGGTGTCAAATATTTAGGAGCGGAGGGAGTATATCCTTTTTAACATCTTTGACGTTGGCGTTTCATCGAAGATGACATGAATTTGCCAGGTTATATATAAATATCACATTAACGCTAAAGATATTGAATATTCCATCGGAAGCGGCAAGAATTTACCAGATTATATATAAAAATAGTAGGTATGAGGCTATGTCTGTCAAGCTTGAAACCCTGGTTCAAATACTAGGGATGCCTCCCATTTGAAGGAATTTCTTTCTACCCCTTATTTTCTTTGGCGAAATTAAGAAATAGTGACATATTTTTTGGTGAAATTATTTTTTAATATAAAATTTAAAATACAAATATATTATGGATACCACATACCAAAAAGTGGTTGACTAAGCTCGGTAGGGCACACCATGTACCAAGTGTTATACGGAATCATACCTCGTATATAGAAGGAATTCCGGATAAGGAATGACGAATAGAGTTCTATATGTAAACTATAAGGACTACTTGGATTGTATCCATATTGATCTCTCTAGTTTTACATGGACAATGGGACACCTATGGTATAAATATATCCCATAGGAGGAGGGAAAAAAAGATCAATACACGACACAACAACAGATCAACACACGCCAAGACAAGCCGCTAGATATCGACATCAGAGATAAGCCTAGACAAACCCAATATGATGTATGCGGAGGCCAATAAGAGAGATCTAGCGCTATCTCTGATCTCGTCGAGTGCGAATTCGAGGAGGAAGACTACCCCGTTGTTGGCTACGTGATGGTATTTTCGGGCGCCAAGTCGATAACGGCTAGATAGGTATATCCCAAATATTGTACTGGTCTAATTATAATGAATAAGAGCAACATCGGCTTCGCCCAACATGAGTAGGGCTATTACCTGTCAGATAAGGGGCCTGAGCCTGTATAAAATTTCTTGTCTCCATATCTTTTACTTCAATCTCGCATATACCTTGGTACCAACGATCCCCATACTATGCAAAATACCGTAGTCGCGGTATCACCCATCGACAATATCTATTTTATAGTTAATCTTTAACTAAAACACTAAATATATATAATTCTTAAGAGAACACTAAGCTCGAACTAAAGCAAATGCTGGTGTCCTCGGGAGCTTTTTATTTCTTTTAAATTCCTAAAATCCTTATATTATTGGCTAAACTAAGAAATTGTGATATATATTTTGGTGAAAATGTTTTTATTAAAATTATTGACTTCATAATTAATACTTTAATTAAAACACTTATTCTACATAATTCTTAGTTTTAAAATTCCTAAAATATTTCATTATTTTCTTCGTGTATGATTTATTTAAACAAAATGTGTCATTTCCCAATAAAATACGAAAAATAATTAACAAGTGTAGAATTGGTAAAAAAGGTAAAGATCCTTAAAAGGAGTAGAAGGAAGGACTCAAACCAGGGTCTTCAGGATGAGAGCACCAGACCCAGTAGCAACTCACGTGTGTATTACATATACAAGCATGTATTTATATATTTTCTTATAACTTAGTACCGAGCACCAGATCCAGTAGCAACTCACATGTGCATTACATATACAAGCATGCATTTATATATTTTCTTATAACTTAGTACCAAACACCATGAAGCTAATTCTATATGACTAGTTAAATTTTTGTCTTCTCGAATAGGATGTGAGTGTCAATATTCTTGACACTAAAGCATTATATATCACCACTAATCTTAATAGCGTTGAGCTGACGATTTATTTATGCAAATAAGTTTTTAGCACGGTCGTTGCAAAAAGTTTTCTGGAAGGGTCAGTTTGTAGAGAGATCTATGCTGCGCACAGGCACAACCTTTAGGCAGCCACACGCTGGTCTCCTCGAACTCGAACCCTAGCCTTTTGCTGCTCCCTCCGGCCTCCACACGCGCGAGATCCCTTCCCCTCTCCTCCCCTCCCGGCGAGATGTCGTCGTCGGTCGGCGGCGGCGGCGGGCAGCAGTTCCGGTACACGCAGACGCCGTCCAAGGTGCTGCACCTGCGGAACCTGCCGTGGGAGTGCGCGGAGGAGGAGCTCGTCGAGCTCTGCAACCCCTTCGGCCGCATCGTCAACACCAAGTGCGGCGTCGGCGCCAACCGCAACCAGGCCTTCGTCGAGTTCGTAAGCCCTCCCCCCGTTCTCCCTCCCCTTCCCCACCCGCCTGGCCCGCCTCCATCTCCCCCCTCTCGTCGCTCGATCTCATTCGAGATCCGTTCGGATGAATCGGCCACCGGATGATCTGCCATGTTCAATCCACGATCTATCGATTCGGCCGTATAGGTATAGCGCAGTCCTGTAATTAGGGGATTTTGTCTCGGATAGTATAGCGCAGTCCGTAATTAGGGGACAGTGGGGGTCACTGGCTCACATGCCGTCCTCACATCTGCTTGGTTTTAGCTTTTTTTTTTTTTTTTTTTGCTATGCCAACACATCGCGAAGATGGAATTGATATGAGCTTCGGTCATCGTAAAGGATTTGATAAGATGCGGCTGCAGGATACACGCGGGACTGGATATTTGATACTAGTAGTAAAGTTGTTTAACAATGTTAGTATTTTGGATGGGTTTTCAGGTGGATTGTTGGGTTTGTGATTGGAGTTGACCGAGGTTAGTTTATGATACTGGAATGCTATATGTTGTATCAATCTGTCTGTCAGGAATCGATCTGTAGCATACTCGGTAACCGCTATCTATATGGATGGCTGGGCCTATGTGGTTTTGTGGTTTTAAAAGTTCCACATGTCACTGTTTGGTTTGTGATAGGATACAGTTACAGGGATGTGATTTGTGGCTCTTGGATATATGGTGGCGGGAGCTGGGAGCTTTGAAATGACAGCAAAGCTGTATTCTGTGTCATTAGTAACTTTAGAGTATGATTCTATTTGTGAGATTGATTATCTAATAAAATGTGGTGTATCTTTAGACTTCTAGGAAAGGCTTTCAGAAACTTTATCTTCCTACAAATTCTATTATTGTTTATACTTATGTTTTATTTGTAATAAATGCTGCGCATTACTTATGCAAAGCCATTCCTTCTTTGCAGACTGACATTAATCAAGCTATTTCGATGGTTTCTTACTTTGCATCATCTTCGGAACCAGCGCAAATCCGAGGCAAAACTGTTTACATTCAGTATTCAAACAGACAAGAAATAGTTAACAACAAGAGCCCTGGAGAGACTGCTGGAAATGTGTTGCTAGTTACTATAGAAGGTGTTCAAGCAAACGATGTCACCATCGATGTGATCCATCTGGTGAGTTCTAAATTTTAGTTTCTTTTCCAACATGAAAGTATTTCAATGGGTGAATTAGTAAGATCATGAAAAATTTAAGTGTGACTGTTGCTATATCGGTTGCCATTGACTGAAGGGATCCAAGGGAGTCTACCTGACCTGATCCTTGTAAATCAAAGATTTTACATAGCTCTTCATCTCGTAGTAACGTATTCTGCATGAATCAGCAGGCCCATGTTAACACGGAGAAAATGTCGTTATCAACATCTGCAATTGGAGAGATATCATGTTTGTTTTGCTGCCTCTGTCTTCTAACTATTACATCTGAAGTTTTTATGAACTCTTGGGGATGCCATTTTCTAATTATCTTTCATCATCACGCTTTTCCACGGTGTAGGGCACCTCCCTGTTTATCCAAGTTATTGATGAAAGGTTAAATTCCCAACCTTTAGAAAATTAGTACATCTATGGTGCTTCTTTTGTGATCATTTTGTGGTTCTTTTATCCATCTATTAGCAATACAATATAGTTCCATTCGTCCCTGGTTCATCTGTCTAAGATCTTCTGTCCTCTTTGTCTTTTTGGTGGACAAAAGGATAACCTTTAAGAGTTTCCTGCCAGATAGAATATTTAATAATTGATTTTATGTACTACAACTACAAGATTTTTATATGTGCTGCCAGTTCCTGGATTAATTTTCTCTTTTACTCCTATATATGACCCTTCTATTATATTTCAGGTTTTCTCAGCTTTTGGATTTGTTCACAAAATAGCCACTTTTGAGAAGGCTGCAGGTTTTCAGGTTACTTGAAATTTCAAATTCTGTTAATATACTTGATTGTTTACAAAGGCGATCTTCCCACCTTATTTTCTTCCCCCGCAGGCACTGATTCAATACACAGATGCAGCCACAGCTTCTGCAGCAAGAGAAGCCTTAGATGGAAGAAGCATCCCAAGGTGACATCTTTGTTCTCTGTACATTGCATCTTTTAATATTGTTCACACTTTGCTCCTCCTATAAACTGAATTCCTCTGAGACTTTAATTTAATGTAGGTACTTGCTTCCAGAGCATGTAACATCTTGTTGTTTGCGTATTTCGTTCTCTGCGCATAAGGATCTGAATATCAAGTTCCAGTCACATCGCAGCAGGTATCACTTATATCTTTTTTGCCTTGAGTTAATTTACAAAGATCAAATTTCGCGGTTGTTAAGATGGATCTCTATATGTCTAGGAGGATTGTAATATCAACATACTACCTGGTACCATATTTTAATGTCTACATTAAGATTTATGCCTAGGCATTGCAAGATCATACCTCATATTTTCCCTGCAAATTCAGAAATACGTGTTCTGCCACATCATGGGCATTTTACCTTTATTCATCTTTCCTGTTCATCCTGCTGCCTCCTTATATACTGACACATGATTACT